TTTAAGTACAAATAACATTTGATAAATAAGCACACAAAAGGTTAGAAAACGTCCCTTTGAACGTATCTAAAAGATTTTTTTTTTCTTACATTTATAATTGTTTTTTTATTTTTTAATTCTTTAGGTAATTCTATATAACTTGATCCTTTTAAAAGATCATACTTATTTATTGCCAGTTCTAAGAAAATTATTGTCTCTAAGTTTCGTCCTGATCTTTCTTCTTGAAATTCAGTAGCTTCTGTTAATAATTTATCAGCACAATTACCACAAATACCGTGCAAATACTTTAATACAACATAATTTTATGTATTTATTTATTTTTGGAGGCACGATAGATTTGTATTATATATCATAAAAGGAACCTATTTATGACGGTGTCCCTTCATAAAAGTGCCGGCATCATGATGCATGTTACTTTTTCACAATTTAAAAAACTAATCTTAAGGGTGCGGATAACTTTATTTCGTGAGATCGAGATGCAAGTAGCATTTGTTAGAATTTACTAATTAATCAAAACTAATCAAATTCTACATCAAACTAATTATTAACTGATCAAAACTCATCAAGAAACTAATCAAAAATTTGTATTACTATTTTATTTTATTAATCAGAATAACAAAATCTTATTTGTATTGCAATACCCCAGTATAAAACATCGGCAGCGTCGTAAAATCCACCCTTCCAAGGTAAGAGCTGAAACTTTATTAAGTTAAAAATTGAAGGCTTCCGAGTTTAAAGGCGCTTTATACCGGGTCACCCTTCTTATAAAGTTGTCTGTTTTGGTGATAATGGTTAACCTTTATAACGAAGTACCGTATTATACAAGAAAATATTGATATTCTTTGACCATGGATGGATGGCAAACCACGGTTATTTAGAAAATTAGGAAGGTGGATGGAATCCAAATGGAAGAAATATTTTTATGTTTTTATGCTTTTTAAAACATATTCGAGAAATCGAGCACCAGCGCGCAGTCTGAGTGTTAAGTATAACTCAAAAGGGAGGCGAAAACTTTGCATATGCCATTCTAACATACTGTGTGTTCCCATATCACCTTCAGATACGCGTTGTTCCAGCTGAAACCCCAATTCCACATGGTTAATCACTCTCTCGGGCTGCGAAAAAGGATTGGGATAGTCATAGTCGGACAACATAGTGTACACTACATATACTTTACACTTTTTACAACTTAAAATCGCGTTCTACGTTTTCTTTCGAAAGCTTAAGTGCTTATTTTATTAATGTTTTCAAACGTTTCTTACATGCAGAAGAAATATATGAAACTATCAAAAGTGTAAAACTACTTAAAACATAAATAACTTTGTAGAGACATTAGGGTAATTTCGAAGCAAGAGAGGTGAAAAAATAAGCAACGCCTTGGCCGGATATCGAATCGCGGACCTCTGGAATACGCCCCCAGCGTGCTGACCACTACACTAAGAAGGCAAAGAGGGAGGGAGAAATACCTTATGACTTGAACAGATCACTCACCAACTGAAAAAATTAGCAGGAAAGGTTGTCTCACGCTACCATTTCTTCGGTAAAAGGTAATTGTTATATGCTTCTTATAGTTTGTTGTTATGTTTAAAATTATTATAGTAAATATAAATAGAAGGGGAAAAACACGCTGGATGTTTTACTAGTTGGATTGTTTGTTGCTTAAAGTTTTAGTTAAACTTTATATTTACGAAATCATTCTGCTCTGAGTTTTTGCGAAATTCTGCAACTATCTGTATGTCTTAAGACTAAGGAAATAAAGTCTTATACATTTTCTCAATACTTTTGTGTTATAAACTAGGCGTCAAATGTACAATAAAGACTCAAATAATAAATAAAAATTGTAAAAAATGTGTGATATGCAAATGAAAATAAAATCGGTAACAAAGTACGTAGTACGAATCCGAATAAGAAGAATACGACATAAAAAAAGGGGTAAAAGAAAAGAATGGGGAAATATCGGATTGTAAACTAGATTCATAAAGTATAAAACAAGACTACAGTTGAGTAAGCAAGATAATGACAATCATGTGGTTCTGTTTATGCTACAAGAAAGGGGAAAAAAAAGAAAAAAGAAAAAAAAAAAAAAAAAAAAAAAGACTTTCTACCTACGGTGTTTACATTTCCTGGAAAAGAACTGCAAAGATCGAAAATAAGATCTTGTATGAAATACGAGGTTACAGAAATTGCCGTAAACAAATAAATATGTTGTAATTTATTGTGGAACCTGAAACGAAATTAATAACTAAATCCACCAATTTTGGCTTTCCGCTGTATCTAGTGAAAGTAGAGTAAAGGTTTTCGCTGTTTTGATTATTTGTTGCCTTTCAACATAAACATTTCCTTCACTATTCTTACATTTAATTCACCGTCCTTTAAAATATATATATATATATATATATCATATATATTAATGTTTCATTACGTTTCCTGATTTTACTTATTATACCTACAGTAAAATCTGATTGCTTAGAAGCTATGTTAGACAACACAGGTGTTCTTTTGTACAAAAGTAAAGGTAAGTTTATCTTGAAACAAATCTGCAAGAGTGTTAGATGTATATTCCAAGTCATTCGTTTTTAGTTGTCTAATTTCTGAATCACATGACTAAAATATATGCAAATATCTAGTCTGACCAAAAAAAAAAAAGAAGAAGAAGAAGATAGGCAAGAAATTTAGACTCATGGCTTTGTGAATTTGCTTCTAAATTTCTTACTATTTCGTCTATTATATATATATATATATATATATATAGACATAATACGAAATGATTTGGAACTTAACGGTGGCATAATAGATGCCTAGCGAAGAAACTTGACAATACACACATGGCCGGATTCAAAATAATTTTATTATTGAAAAAAGCTATTCTGAATTCGCAAATATTTTGTTCACATACGGAAGAGCGTCTTATGCGTCCTACATTTTTGTCCAGCTAGGGTAACGACAAAAGTCGTTTTCTACGAATTATTGGTGGATTATTGTTATTGGTGGGCTTTCGTAATGTTTTTACAATAAGGTCGGGTATACATGAGCACTAGGTCGACCCCCGTCCATTTCAGCATTAAAAAGTGCTCTGCAAAAAAGTATTCCTATGAATGCACTTTACTGACGCTGTTATGCTACGACGAACGGAACATTTGACAGAGTTTCCAGCTGTGCATTGACATAAATCAGACAAGGTGAGCAATGGACGCACTCTATACAGCCGATAATTTCGATAAGAGTACGCTGTTCACAAGTACGTCAGCATAACTGAACTTCATCGCTAGGAGCATCGATTTAGCGCTTGAGTGTTCCCAGCATAATTTGACTTTTTTTACAGTAAATTTCTAAAGATGGACAATAATAAAATATAATGTGATGATGAAGAATTGTCTGCAAATAGTTTATTGAATTGCGAGAACCGAGGTTATGAATGATGATACTAGTTGTTGTTGTTGTCTTGTCCATATTACATAGAACAATGGTTGCCACAGCCTACCCCAAGGAGAGGTTATACTTCTATTTTTCCACCCGAATTTTGAGGGAGAGCACCCCGGGGGATCCGGAGGTCCCCCACACCTGTCCCCTTCCATCAAACCACACGAAAGGACTTTCGGCTCGCCTCATATTTAGAGTGCCGCCATGCCGTAGCAACACTATACATTTACTAATTCAGAACATCCATATACTAATTCAGAAGTCAAACGATAAAAATCAGCGTTTTCAAATGTTCACAGGTTTCAAATGTTCGATGGTTTTACCGAACCATCATCCTCAGCTGCAAAAGCGCAAAAGGGATTTTGCGCCTTTGCGAAAACCTTTTATTCTTTTGCAGCTGAGGATGATGGTTCGGTAAAACCATCGAAACTAGGCCTGTAAAAATTTGAAAACACTGATTTTTGTTGTTTAACTTATGAATTAGTATTTGTTCAGCGTGTTATTGTGTCTTAAACATCCATATCTTCTCCGGAATTCGAAACCGGGCCCTTCGTTACCGCAGTAGCCTTAGCCACTTTACCGTCTGGGCCAAGATGATTCTAGTGATGACGATATTACGCATCGTCCTAAGATTATTATTCGACGAATAATTTCAAGCAGTTCTGATTCAAACCCGGATTTGGATGATTCTGATTTTCAAGAAAAATGGTCTTCAGTATACAAACCCCAGCCTTGGAAGACTTGTTTAAGTTTCTCAGGAATAAATACAGAAAACGCTCCGGATAGTGTAGCGGATGTTGTAGATTTATTTACCGGCGATTATTTTTTTACGTTCCTTGTAGAGGAGTCAAATAGATATTATTATCAAAATATTGATAAATTCACAACTTCCAAAAAAGACCTCAAACGGAAAGACATTACAATATAAGACATGAAGAAATTTTTGGGGCTTATTCTTCTTATGGGACAAGTGCGTAAAGGACTGAAAGGAGGATTATTGTAGCACCGGGATCCTTGTATAGAAATGCCAATTTTTCCAAAAATAATGACAAGAAACAGGTTTCCTATGTTATGGAAAGCCTGATACTATAGCTATTTTGGTCAGAAGTGATTTTACGCACGAACTGCAAATAATCGTCGACTACCCGGTGAGAGTGTTGTGGAAAAACGCCTGCGTAAGATGTGTTAGCTAATCAAGTTAGTAAATCACTTTTTCCCCCCCCTACATCTGGAGTTAATTTTACTATTAATGATACAAAGTCCACGATCTCAAAGTAAAGTGATAGGTTTATTACACGCGTCAATGAATCGTAACGCTTATTTCAAAGTATAGCGTTTACTTCTGTGCACTGCTTTTGTATTATGCATAATTTAAGACAAAATAATAAATTCTGCTTATCCTGTTCAAGTAAGTTGTAAAATGTTCACTGCATGACTGCAGTTATAAAACTAACTTATATTGTGTTAATTTATTATCTCATTTGGCGAGTCATTGCTACAAAAATGTCTCTAAACTTTGTAAACTTATACTGTGTTCATGGGTATAAAATTTCATATAAAGTATATTTTGTCGCTTTCAGAGTCATGTTCTTCGAGGTCGACGCCGAAACCTCGTCCGACGTCGGCCACAATGCGACCCAACATTACCTTCCAAACTTACGCCTGTCCAGAAGCTTATGCCAAGTGGTACTGCTTAAATGGCGCCACGTGTTTCGCCGTCAAGATCAGGGATTCCATTCTTTATAATTGCGAGTAAGTATAGTAGTTCCTTTCTTGTGTGTGTGCTCGTTCTTATAAGTGAGTGGGGAAAAAGGCAGTCATAACAATTATTCTGCGCTTTCGATTTGTGAATAATCGATGTTAAGGTCGCACAATTCAAAATCTGAAGACATAACTTATTGGGATGATCCAAAAGTTTTCTTTCGACAGAAAATGTATGGCGAATAACCGTCTTCCATATAAGTTAGATTATACAAAATACCGCCCTTCAGCCGGGAAGAACAGACAGTTTTTTTCCCCCCAGTTGCGGAGGGCTGTCGAATTCTTTAAATTGGAAAATGTTTATGTGGCTTTAGACTTTTGGCTGAGGCATCCAGTTAGTCGAAGCAACTTGAGAAGTGTAAAGGAGTCTTTCTTAGTGCCCTGATGTTGTCATGAATCAGAAGTTGGACGTCTTTAAATGGGATATTCTGTTGCTATAGTTTTATGTCGCTCACTGCGAATTCCCGCCCCCTCATGTTTGGTCCTCTGAAAATATCTTTGAAAAGTGTCTAATTCAGTGGGGCTATATTTATATTTTCTCACATGATTGCCCTAATGGATTCCACATTTTTGGAGGAAACTTATATTTACTGTCGCGAGTTTTAATTAGGAGACTATTTTCAACGCACTTTGTTAATGGGATAACTCCTCATTTCGACTATTTCTTTGAAATAGATTGGGCTTAGCAGGTTGTGCCTATCAGGTTGATTATCCTTTGTGTACATCACAAGTTAAGAAAATATTAAGCTGTTAGTATAGTTTAATTTCCAACTTCACAAAATAGACATTTCTTTCAGGTTTTTATTAAGAAATAGCATGTTAAAACTGTAAAATGTAATGGCGAATAAGCGTATTATTAGTTTTAAAATTGTGTAGAAAAATTAAACATTCTAGAAAGAACGGTTAAAATTTTTAATGTTAAAATTGAGGATAGAGATTAAACATTTTTGAAAGAACGCCCCATGACAGATTTGTAAATGAGTAACGATATTTTCTTAGTTTGGAAAATCTTTTTTAAAGAATTGAGCAGTTAATTAACTTATACACAGATGACGAATGACAAGCCGTCATTTAATGCGCTTCTTTTAAGAGTATTTGGCTATTTAAAGTTTATAAGCATTATGGAGTATGTTAATTTGCTATGAACGTATCATCTAAGGTTATACTTTAACATGGCAAAAAGAGAATAATAATCAGTCTAATAGTTACTTCAAAATAAACAAAATTAAGAATCCTATCGATTCTCGGGATAGTACAAGGCTTGCAGGGTAGAATTAAATTCGAATATCTATTGCTTTAGAACAATGCTGCTGTATTTCGGTGCCTGATCATTAAAGTGCCGTCATATTCATGCAAATCGGCCATTCTTTGCCAAGTCAGAAACGTTAACAAGGGTGCCTCGGCACAAAGGTTTCCGCATCTTCGTGAAGATTCAGTTTTTAGTTGAAGAAAGCAGCCGGATGATGGCACCTTTATGCCGAGCCACCGTAGCAAGTAAGACTGCTACTCTGATTAGCAAAGTAAATTAAATTCCTTGCATAACAGAGCTCAGCGTAAAGATGTTTCACCTTCATAAAGGTTGCTTTTTAAAGTTAGAAACTGATCTTCGTAAAGAAAGCGCGGCAACTTTGTGAAATTTTTCGTGTGGGCGAAATGTTGCCGGCGCGCAAAAAGGTACCAGTATCTTAATGATGAAATGCTGTTTTAAAGGAATCTCTTAAGGTGAATGTCTTAAGCAGTATTATATTTAACTGGAAGAAAGTTTTGAATCTTGAGGTTGCTAGTTGGGTTATTATTGTGCTGAAGTTATTATTTTGTGGGGCGTTGCTTTTCCAGAAGTCATACAGTACACAATCTTTGTGGTACAGTACTGAATAATGTATTCGATTGACTACTAACTTCATAATGCTTTATTCTTAAAATAAATCTTATAAACCTCCTCTAATATTGATGTGCTTTTATTTCAGGTGCGCTGATGGCTACATGGGCCAGCGTTGTGAGTTCAAAGACTTGGACGGTTCCTATCTCCGTAAGTACGCACCATTTGATGTTCTTCCGTAAGGGCTTGGTAAAAGTATTCACATTTTTTTTATCTTTTATTATGCATTTCCTTTCAAGGCTCATAGCAAACTGCGTAGATTTCTTTCCTGTGCTGCTATAACTCTGAAAGGATGCTATCGTAGCTTGCTGGCGTATTTGATTGGTATTGCATCAAAATTTTTTGCATTGTATAATGTTTGATTGAGAGAAATTCCATAGTTCGTATTTCAAGACTGAAAATATAGAAGTCAAACTTAAAAGGAAAATACATTTTTATGAAGCATTTTATGCGTTATATTATTTAAAAAATTGTGCATAAATACCACTTAAGATTTGACCATTTCCAATTAGGCAATGCCGATTTTTGCCATATAAAATTTCATCGTATCTATTTCACTGGAATTCTCATTTTATATTTTTTACTTATTTTTTTACTTATTTTGCAGCATATTGCGCAAGATGTTTTCTTGACCAAAATTGTTATTACTGCTTTGCTTGATAAATTATTTCTTTTTCGCAACTATTAGCGCAAAAAAGTGTCATTAAGTTCTGATATATTCAGTTTTTCAGGTTTTTGAGCTTTAGCTTATAAGTTGCCGGGAACTGTTAACAGTTCCACTTTCACGATAGGTTAGTCTTCCTCCCAAAAAACACTGTAAAGCAGGCTAGCTCCCTCTTTACTTTCAATCACTGGCTCAGATAAATAACATAAAAATAATTAAATGAAGCAACCAGCTTTGAAAAACCTGTAAGGCTAATGCTACTCCGCTTCCTTCTACTGCAAGTAAAACACAATCACTTTGAAAGACATACAATTGCATCTACCAAATCACCTGTAAAGAATGTTCTCTCGCATATATAGGTCAAACTAAAAACCCTCTCAACCTCAGAATTAATAACCATAGATCTCATATTAAAAGATTTAAAAATAATAACAATAATAGCACCAAAGATCATCAACTTACAGCTATTCTTGAACATTATTATCAACATAATTTTGATCACATAGAAATTAACGTGCTTGATATTGTTCCTAACACCAAACTTCGACTGTTTAAGGAGTCGATTTACATACTTCAAAATAAGTCACTTTATCCTTACGGACTGAATGCATATCTCAGTAATACCACTAATAGGCAGCACGAGATTTCTATATATGGACAATTCAGATTTTTTAGCACTACTACTAACAGAGGAACTAGAGGAGGTGATGCTAAAAACAAAAAATTTTTTTCGTCACAAGATCTGAAATTAATTATTCATAATCTTAATTCCTACCTTGGACATCAAGACTTCGTTAAAAAAATGCCATAAAACTTCTTCATACCTTTAAGAATACTACCTTATGGAATCTGATTAAAACAGTAAATCAACCGTCTCAATGCTCCAAAATAGTCAAGGATCTTATTTTAGACTTCTGCAATTTTAAACTAAAAAACAGTAATTTCTTTCGCAAAAAACTTTTTTGTACTATTCAGTTCAAACACCCCTTCTTACGATAAGTTCAAAATTCCTAGCATTTTCAAAAAATATCAGCACTTGCTTCCTAACCAACCAGTCCAGATTAAACCCTGTTTTAAATTTGAAAAAACCTTGGGTCAACTAGTTATAAACCACCACGTTATAAAAGATAATAGCACTTGTTACTGCCAAATGCCTGTCTACAAAAAATATGTCGATCCTTTCCACCAACATATAGTCACAGGAGATCTTAATATTGTAGAAAAATACTGAATTACGTAACCTTATGCAACTTGGCACCAAGTTTCGTCCTACTTTCAGTCTTAATAGACACGTCTGCCTCAAACAATTCAATAATGATCTAGATAAATTTATTATTATTGCTAGTACAAGATCCAATTTACCCACTACAACTTTTCTTGAATGGAAAGCTGCACTTATAAAAGAATTTCAATGTTTGCTTTTCAAGGCGCCTAATTTCAACTCTTTACACAATAAAAAACGCCTGGAGGATCTCATTCAAAAATTGCAACATAACTTTATCATCACGAAGATTGACAAAGCAAGCAACAATTTTAGTATTATTTGACAACACTTCTACTACAACTACTACAACCTTCTGCATAAAGAGTTAAATAACACTTGCACTTACCAAAAAATAACTTCCAGTACTCAGATTCTTCTAAATAAATTTAAAGCACTACATAAAAGACTTAAAATACAACCCCAGAAATATAACAACAGGTTTGCAAATCTCTATGCCTTACCGAAATTTCATAAGTCTCCAATTAAATTCAGGTTCATAGCTAATAGTACTAAAAGTTATCTCAAAGAAATAGATTATCTCTTTGCGCAAAAACTTCGTATGATTCGTGAACTAATCAATAACTATGATTTTAAAGGTTTGCATTGCAACTGGATGATCTCTAGTAATGAACAAGTTATTAAAACTCTGAATTCCCTTCAAATAGAACATATCCAATGCTACGACTTTGAAAACCTTTATACATCTCTACCACTCGAAGAAATTTTTACAAGTTTACTTGCTCTTCCAGATTTATTTCCACAAATTTCTACCATTCTCAGCAACGAAAAATGGCAGCTATTCCTTACCAGCGTTCTCTTCAATAATTTTATTCAGTTTGACAATTACATCTATAAACAAGTTCAGGGAATACCTATGGGCGGGAATTTTTCAACTTCAGTTTGTGTGAATTATTCCTGTTCACTAAAGAACTAACCTATGTACGTTCACTCAGAACGGAAGAAAGTCTCTTTTTCCAACACATCTATAGATATATTGATGATGTCATAGCATTTAATAACTACAACAAAATAGAAAACGCTAATATCTACCCTGCTTGCTTAAAACTTAATAAAACCAATACAGAACAGCATGATATAGTCTACCTTGATTTACATATTATTGATTACCGTTTTATTAAAGTTTACGATAAAAGAAGAGAATTTAATTTTTCCACACTTAAACTCACTAACTGGAATTCAAATATTTCCAAAAGAGTAATAATCAACACAATTTATTCACAGCTACTTAGAATGAAAAGAATTTGCAATACTGCGGATCACTTACAAGAAGAAATACTATACTTCGTAACTATTTTAAAAAGTAACCAAATACCACATAAAATAATTAAAAATTCCCTGACCAAAGCTGGCATTAACCTTACCTAATTATAGATTTTTTGAGTTAGATAATGATTTTTTATACCTAAAGCTACGGACGGTTTAAGAAGGATGACTAATTCAGAGAATCTATTGTAAAAATGTACAGATAATTCTTGTTTATTCATTCTCTTTCCTCCAAAAAATTTTGGCACTTTAATCTTAAATACTATTATGTACATATTTTTAAATTTAAATTTCTTTAGTGGCCAATTTTACTGCTTTTATTAACAAATCGGGCTTTTTTCATTTTTCATAGTAGCTTGATCGCCCGCTAGCTTGAAGAATTACGACTTTTTAACAAATTACTGTTTTTTTTTTCTTTTTCTCATGCTTTAATGGCCAAGTTTTTATAGTTTTAGCTGAATTTGCCATTTTCACTTCGAAAAAAATTTTTTTTCCATCCTTCTACAAGCCAAGCGCCATTTTTTGAGCTCTTCACACGATTCCCGAGGTTTCCGGCCCCCTCCGATAATAGGAGACGAGTTACAGATAACGAAAATCACTTCGCATTGGCTAAACGCCCACAACTCTTCGCTCCCCCCTACCTACGTCATCCAAAAATAAGACGCTTAATTTAGCAGCCATTTTTCTGCATGTTTTTCCAGAGGGACAGCTTTACATCGCCAAAGGTCAGTTTTTTGTTTCTTTTTTGTTACAACTTTTTCTTGGTCTTAGCAAGACCCACTGAGTTGTTCTTTTCTCAATTTTATTTTATATTGATTATTAACTACAGGTTTTTCTTACAGTTTTCATAAAATCTACAGTTTTTAAAAATTAAATTGTTAATCTTTAAGCTTGCAGGCCCAGCCCGAATATATTTGTATTTTTAGGACTAATAGCTCATCGCTATTTATTTTCGTTTTGATTTTAATTTTAGACTAGATTTAGAAAGTTTGATTTTGATTTACATATTTTAACACCTTAATGTGTCTTTCTGAGCGGACGCGTCGGGAAATTGGAACAGAGAATTGAGACTATTAAAATTTCCAAGACACTTTGTCAAAAAATTTTTTTAGCGAAAAAGTTTCAATTGTCTGTTTCGGCGAAACGCGTAATGGGGTTAGCTTGATTCGACGTTCAAATAATTGAAATTTCCCTTGAAAAGCCTGTTTGGATGTCGAATTGGGCTAATTTACCATTTTCCGCTTACTTTTTAACTTTTTCTGTTATTTAATTTTATTGTATTTATGTTTTACATGTCTAATGATTTGCTTTTCATGTGTATTAATTTTTGAAAACGTCTTTAACCTTTTGGAGCAGCAGCTCTTGGTAACTTTTAGGCGAGCTTTCTACAATTTTTATTTTTCTAATAAATTAGTTATAAATACCAGTGCAACGTAAAAATATGCGATAAGGTTATTGAAAAAGTTCTGGTTACTGGAGCGTCCAAAGTAACTTAAATAATGAAGCATTATCTTGAAAATTAGTTGCGCTCTCTATTAAAAAGTAATTTCTCCAAAAGATTGTGCTACAACTATAAGTAGATATAAAAACTTCGTTATCTCTCATTCAATATCATTTACACATATTTCCTGAATGTGTAGTATCTGTTACAAGAAGGCTGGCAGAGTTTGGACTCCATTATCGGAGTTTGTTCAGAAATCTGCCTCTACATCTTGGTCGTCGGCAGGAATGCTTAATCTGGTATCGCAATCGTAAGACTTTGATTGCATTGGAAATGATCCATATCCAACTGGATATAAATTACGGTTTTCGCTTCTTTCGGAGTTCTGTTCAACGCAGCTTTACCTAGTTACATTTCATGATTCATTGCAGCACTTTGATAGCCTACTACTTTAATAGCACGGTGATAGCCTACTACGTATGACATCCTACAATCTGTTATATTGCTACCGCTATCACCCTTATCAAAAACGTTTTCTGCAAGACAATACTTGTCAGCCCACGGCGAAGTGTTCAAAGAGTGTATACAAGTTATATTTTATTTATAATTTGTATAACAGTATCTACCGACCTCTTTCCAATCGAATACGTATGGCACACGCTTAGGTCGCCGGTTTTAGCCGTATCACAACATGCGAGAATTTACTTATCAATTACAGAATATCTGTAAGAAATTCTGCAGGGTAGCATTCGACATTTGTATGAGTTTATCTAATATCATCATGCATTACCACCAGAGATGGTTATATTATTACACTGATACGCAAGAGTTCTGGATGCATGTGTTTTTCGATCAAAGGATTTAATCACATCTTAATTTTTGTCTTTTTATTGATCGTACCAAATTTCGTCTTGATCGTATAATTTTCTAAGTGTTCAAGTTATTTTTAGAAACATTTCAAGTAGATTTTCACATAATAAATGCAAATGCGAACATATTGTGGATTGAAAAATATATTTGGCATGCAAAATTTATTTAAACATAATTTTATTTACAAATAAAATTTAATTCAATACTCCCATTTGGACTAGTTGACTCAAAATGAATACTTTAACCATAATAATAACAATGATGATAATAATGATAATTATTAATGGTACTTGCGACCAAACGTCCAGGAAATAATGTCGCCAAATTTAGACGCCACCTTTTCCCTTAAGCAAATAGTGCTTTTAAATACTAGAATTTTAACAGAAATAAATAAATAAGAGGAACTTACGTTAATTTATTTTCAAAAAAAAAAAAAAAAAAAAAAAATCCTACTTCAAAAAGAATGTAATTTATTTTAGAGGTAAAAGGTATATATTTCCATAAGGCAGAAAGCCCTCGTGTGCTTTGCAGTATTCCAATAACCTATTTTGAGGTTGCCATAAATTCGCAATAGCAGTTTACCGCTCCCCGTAATGTGATTTTTGAAGCAGTGAATCAGGTTGCTGATATGAACGTCTTTCTTCTTCTAGTGGGTTTTAATTTCATTCCAAATAGCTTTTCGGTGGTATATAACTTCATTTCGTACTTGTTTTCGCAAATCTAAGATAAACAATGGACCGTTTTTTTTTTTTTTTTTTTTTTTTTTTTTTTTTTTTTTTGAAAGAATGTAAATGCTGGTACTTACGGAAAATCCCGTCCACCATTTTTGCCTATTAAAGAAAAGACGCCAAACTACGCAATCTTTCGCCAAAAATGGAAAAGTCTTCTTCAGACACGCTGGGTTTGGTGTAACCTTGATTACACGTGTTAGTTGTTATTCTTGACTAAAGACTCCTATTTTTCCCTCTATCACGCATTTTCGAAAAAATGTGATTAAAATTTGGGACCTGCCTACTACAGAAGAGCATGCTGTTGAATATTAAAAGAAATGTGCCAATGGCCACGAAATGGCGCCAAGCGAAAATAATTGCTTTTACAGTATATCTCCTTAATTAAAAATAATGGAAATTTTTAATGAAAAATTAAATATAAATAAATGGTAATATAATAAATTTGAAATAAAAATAAGAATAGAACGTTTTGTATTGTATTTAGTAATTTTTTTTTTTTTTTTTTTTTTTTTTTTTTTTTTTTTTTTAGGGAGGGTACAAGACACGGCGCCACGCGCCGTGTCTTGTGGTCGACGGGATTTTCCGTAAGTACTTAAATGCTTAATGATAAGTTGAAAATCGTCTTATTTTGAATCCCAGACCAAAATATTCTTACAGAAGAAATAAACAATATCTTATTACTGGTTTTGGTTTCTTATTACTGGCTAATTAGTTTAGAGATTGCTATATCGTTTGCCGATAAACGCCCCCCCCCCAAACTTGGCAATTAGTCGCTGGTAGCCGGTAAAACCGACAAATACTAATTAAATTAAAATCCTAAACTTGCATATAACGTTAAGGAGTAAGTAGCCGCTTACATCCATTCGGTTAATGAAACAAAGTAATTAAAGCTATGGAATTCTCTTACATTAGATTTGTTTGCATCTTGTTACATTATTTTTCTCATATCACTTTTGAAATAGAATCTGAATGACTGAAACAATTGTAAAATAAAAAGTGTGGGCAAAATTTTATTGTCATCAAAATGTCATCAAACAACACCTTTCAGAAGAGTTCATTTGAGGGAGTGGGATATGAGATTCATAATAAATAAAATTCATAATGAAATTTTTCTATATATTTTGTAAAAGAGCCTACTGTCAGGGAAAATGCCCAACGGTATACCTGACAAAAGTTGAAATGTTGTGGAAGTTATCTGATTTCAAGTGAATACTTACAAACTGAAAACTTAATGAACTCGAATCACATATCTCGCAGTTAAAGTCAATCAAGAGTATTACGAACAGCTGTTTTTGCAGCATCGCAAAACAATGAGCTGAAAATTGCGGGTGGAAAAAATGTGCTTCATTTAGTCCATTTTTACACGCAGGTGTAGATAACTTTAAATTGGCTCAAAAGAAAAAGATTCTATTTCGCCATCTTTTTAAGTAAAGAGTGGGCCTGGAAATTCATTTAGTGGAGCGAGGGCTCAGTCATTCAGCTTTCAAAAGTGATTTCTATTCACCATTAGTTAATTTACGAATTGCCTTTCTTCGTATCTCCCGACAGCCAGCAGAGAACGAGTCATGATCGAAAGGGCGAGCATCGCTGGTGGAGTCACAATAGCAGTCTTACTCGTAGCTCTTATCTCGCTCATCTTCTACATACACACGAGGTAAGCCTACAGTCTCACGTTTGTGCTTTATTGAGGCAAAATTTGTAGAGATATTCTATTTTTTATCTTTTGTAAACATCAGTAATGCGATTAATTTTAAGATTACGGAACATTAAATACAGCATCGCCTTTGGCATCGTAAAGACGTACGAATGATGTAAGGGAATCGTGCACATAATTTTATCGGAAACGCCCTGTCTCAGATTAGATAAATTTCGATAAATGTTGAATATTTAAATGCTTACCTTTACAAGAGTAATCATGCAAACTTTCTAAGTTCATAATTTTACTTTGAGCTCTTCTTGCTTTGGGAACATCTGCAAGCAACACTTGGATCCATCTTTCTGCACACTCGTAGCTACAAGGGTTGGACAATGAAATCGAAGCGTTTGGTCAATATAGAACTCCAAATTTCAAGTCAACCTAATCATTTCCGGTTGAGATTCCTGAAGGATTTTAATCTTATCAAGAGCTGCAGAGTATGAAGTTTGAATTTCCATCTGTATTAAATATACTGTTTTCAAAGATTGAAAATTATTGCACATAAATGGGAAATATAGCAGAGTTCAAACGAGGGCAAATTGTTGATGCTTATCTGGTTAGTATATCTTTCATTAAAATCTTTCCGGCGTATTGGGGCTACAATACCCAGATTCATATTTATATACTAAAACTTCGTACAATCGGAGTGAGGAATTTATTCGAAAAAATATTAGAGTGTATTCCAAAAGGTATAAAACGGCGATTACTCAAATTAATGCCAGAATTCAACGTTACTTTGAAGCCATCCATTTCCACAAGAACTGCCTGTCGAGAGCTTCACGGAGTTTTTACCATTTACGTTTGGACATGCATAGCAAAACCTTTGTTCGGTCTCAAAATTATTCAATTTGGAAAACATTTCCTGTTCTACCGTCACGAAGTGAAATGGTGTATATTTTGCAAGAAGATTATCTAAAATATCTTTAATGATTGAACACGACTTGTATCGGTCATTTTTAAAAAGCATCACTGCAGTGCCGTCTTTTAAAAGAGGGCTTATACAGTAAAGTATAGTAGTCCATACGCAAATGACCAATCGATCCATTGACCAATCGCTATATCATATACATGGGAAAATTTTCAGAAGTTTTCGCTGAGCACAATTCCAGTCTAGTGAGGTTCCAGATAGATCTCCTGCATATATGGACGGAGTTGGTCCGTACAGCATTCATTAGTCAGCGTTTATTGAGTGATAACTATAGATCTTGCCAAGGTAAAATTTTCTGGACCATAACATATTTACTAGACTGCTGAATCTCGTCAAACTTGCTATGGGATATGTTTTGCTGATGTATTCGCAATGTACGCATTCGAGTATAATACAGGAGAAAACAGGAGTCCTCTAAATAATTTCTTCCATCTGTCGAGGATCACTGCAAGCATTCCTAGAACTACTAGTGTTATTTCCAACGTCTAGAAATCATAATGTGTTATTGACTTCCAACGTAAACTGTGCTTAAAAAATATCTCCTAGCACTGAGGATCCATTAATGTGCATAGGGCATCTGGAAACAATTAGAATTGCTGAGCTATCGAACTGACAATGAATTGTATGAGTGCTCCTGAAATATCAGGCGCGTCACCTGATTTTCATATTTAAAATAAACCGTGTTGTGACCTCATCTTGACAGATGTCTGCTCACTGTTAATCTTTTACACTTGTTATAAAGAAATGAAGCTGTTTTTGAAGTATTATGCTGCTCAGTTAAGGACAGTTCATACTCAGATGGAAATTTCTATGAAATCGTATACATGATACTTTGTTGGTTATTCTGGCATGCAGCGGGAGATGCGCTTAAATCGTATACATCACTGATGTTTCCTCCCTTTGTATTCATTCATTTATTTTGGTTTTAAAATATTCTGTGATATTAATATCCTCCCTTTTCTATATCCATGAAAATAAATATTGTTTTTCGTAATTTTAATCTGTTGATAACATATTTAAGTATATTTTTGGAAGGACTTTTTAACGAGTAACTATCAAGATAATCGCTCTGGTTAGAAATTTTGGATTCAATTATGTTTATGATCAATAAATGTTCAATTCGTCAGAATCTTCCATTGATCAATGGTAATTCTTTTAAGGAATTTATATTCAAACTCAGTTGTAGATTTCAAATCTAGCAGAAATACCGTTATATACTAATTTAATGCCAATTAAGAATTTTTTAAATATTTTCTAAAATTACATTTTAAACTGCAAAACAAAATCTACTCTTTTATGTTAGCTATCTCAATCAAATTTTGAATTAATAATTTTAACTGTTTCTTAATATATCATGCAATTAAATTTAAGCATTCCTAAAAATGATATTTTATGTTAGCGAATATTTTTTTTCGTTGTCTTCAACTATCAAGATTGTATTACACAAAATGAAAATACTGATTCAATAAAGAATGATTTTTCATTCCTTCTGTAAAAGAAATTTGTAAATTTCACTGAGTGTAAAACATTTTATTAATTAAAAAAATGATCGAATTCGTGTTCAAAATATAAATACGGTTTTGTTGTCCTCGTGCTACTATTCATTTTCTAAGTTTTCTTACTTATATTTCTCTGTCAGGCGGCGTTGGCGGGAGAAGTATATCGCCTATTATCCGGAGGAGGCGATGATCTGCCATCATCACCTAGTACAACCACATTCTCGCCTCATGGTAAGTATTGATCGTTTTTACAGTTTGATTGCAGTGCACTTTCATATATTCGCTTGACTTCTGAAATCCGAAAAGAACTGTAAATACTGTTTATTCCTGGCAGTTTACTGTTAATTGAGCCATTTTTGTTTTTTGAAAAAGAAGCAAATGTTTTCACTAATTCATTTTCAGAAAACAATGCTATAGATCGCTCTCATGCTAAATTAATTTAGTTGATTTCTAAGTTGTGGTGTATTCAGGGTGTTCGATATGAGAAATCTTTTATTAAATACTTTTATAAAAGGTGTTTACTGTTTTCAGAAAGTATAATTAAAACGCTTGCCTCTTGAGGAAAGTATTTGTTGAAAGTCTCGGTTTAGGTTAGGTGGTTTGAATATGACAAATTATATTACAGCTATCTGCCTAAGAGAATAAATGCCTGTCTGGAGGAATTTCTCGGTGAAACTGGCGCGTATTCATGAAACATATGTGAAAAACCCCGAGAACCATCCATGCAGCCAAATTGTACGCCTGGTTTCGAGCCCGCGTCAATTTACCAGCATTCAGCAATCTTAACCACCCGTCCTGGATGGAGCATATGCAAGTAATCCAGTGAACTCAACACAGAGCTGCATCTTGAATAATTAAATTTTTTTCTTATTTAAATTAACGCATATCTCTATGTGGCATTAATTTATAATGGGTTTGTATCATAACAAATTTTAGTTTCTGTCATTTCATTTTACAATAAGAAACAGCTCCTTTTAAATACATGTTTCATGTTCTACGTCTTTAATTTTTGGACAACTAATTCTTAAACAAGTAAGCTTATCAGTATTACTTAGCTCTAAAGGGTTTCCGATGTTAAACTGAAATCTACATACTAGGATCAAATTACAGTTCCTTTTCATTCTCAGATTTTTATATTTCTAATTATTTTTTTTAAATGTTTAGAAACTCAAAATGGTATTTGTGCCAAAGTGACTCTAAACTGAAATTTTCAAACTGAGGTCGCTTTCTTGCGTTGATAAGGGTTGGATAAATAAGGGAAATATCAAGTAAGAGAAATTCATTTTCCCTCTCTATCTCCCTCTCTCTCTATATATATATCGAGAGAGAGATTTAATTATAACTAGTAACATAAATTCATCCTGTGCAGACTGCAGCAAAGATTTAAGTAAAAATAGTTATAACTGAGCAGGCAAAGGAAACTCAGCAATAAGGATTAGTAAGGATTGTAATTGTCAAAATTACGTAAACATTTTGCTTTTGTTAAAATTAGAAAAATCAAAATACCAAAACAAATTTTTAATAGAAGAACATACGAACTAGAAATAAAAATAAAAATACAAATATAAAAGTATACATGGAAAAAAGTTTTACTATCACTCTTTGACCTTTACTTTGTCAAGAGGAGATCAGTCATTAAGCGACAATGCCTCTCTCGGTAGAATCTTTTTGTGTGTCTGAACACTCAGAATTAATGAAGGCACTAAATAAATAAATAAGCTTTTTTAGCACCTCCGAAAATAACCAGCACTTTTAACCTCCGGCACTTTTAATTTTCGAAGGCGCTAAAAACGTTTATTTATTTATTTACTACCTTGGTTAATTTTGAGAACACTGAAATAAAAAAAAAGAATCTGCTGGAGAAGAGGTGTCACTCAATGGCTGAACCCCCCCTCTTGACAAAGTAAAAGTCAAAAAGTGATAAAACAGCTTTTCCGTATCTATCTTTATATTTTTACTTTTATTTCCATTTCATATGTTCTGTTATTAAAAGCTTGTTTTGTCGTTTTTGAGTTTTATAAATTTTCTAATCTTAATTTTAACAAAAGCAAAAGTTTTTATAATTTTAACAATTGCATTATCACCACTTTAAATTTTTTTTGCTAAATTTCTTCTGCTTGTTTAGTTATAATTAGTTTTACTTTACATAACATATATATATATATATATATATAAGTAGCAAGACAACATGAATTAGAGAGACCTTAGGGGTCAAGAATTTTGAGCATTGAGCTGCAAAATTTTTCAAAAAATTTTAGAAGTAAGAGGAACGTTTAAAAGCTTATGCTAAAAAATACATTTGACTCTATAGCTCCTTAGCAAAAATGTAAAATCATTCAATAAGTAGAAAAAATAATAAAAGGTAAAAGCAGTCTCGTAAAAACTAAATGTTAAAATTACAAGTCGAGATGATTTCGAACGAGAACCGAATTTTCTATTTGTAGGATAGTTGTCTATGAGTTGTCGGAGATGAAGGTATTCATAATTACGCAGTTTTTCGAAAAATTTATCGCTGGAGGTTAAAATAATAATATGAATACTATCGATTTTGAGTTCTTGACGAACCGGGGAAGGGAGCAAATCGCCGAGAATATCTCGTGCGCTTAATATCTTTCCATATTCATAGCTCCGCAGACGCTTAAGTATTCCACTCTAAATATTTGCATAATTCGTCGGCGACTTAATTAGTATCTTTGGTTCAATACTCTCCATAAAAATATATGTAAATTGAAAATTGTCTTAATGTTACACACGAGGGTATATAATGGGAGGTCAAGTAAAAGTGAGCAGGTATTTCTGTAGTTTAAATGTTTTCATCCAGTGAATCTCGCATGAAGAATATAACGGTACTAAATTAACAGAGCATTCTTTTACACATATTATCTCATATCGCATAATATAGAATAAAAATTTGCAATTAAGATGCGAAATTGACAATATAATATAAAATAAATAATCGGAAAATGTTGAAAGCATGCGTTTTCCAAGTTTAGTTTCTATGAGTATGCTAATAATAAATAGAATTAGATTATTTCCACATTTAATTATATATATATATATTCCTGGTTCAGATGCAACTTTTTTTAGCTCGTAGTTATTGACTTAGACGTAAAAATACAATAGGAAACTGTTTATTAAAGTATTGTTCTCCTGTGTTCTGTTTTATAATATCCATTTGCTTTTTTTATTGTTGCAACGTTTATTTTTGTAGTCTGGTGATAACTGGAGAAATCTCAACCACCAAACAACCAACAAAGTCACCACCAACAAAGTCACCAAACAACAAAATGCGATATATCTTGTAGGATTAAAACTATATTCATATGACAGCGGCGAAGTATAAATGGAAAATTTCAAACTTGCGGACATTTCTCCAAATTTCACCAAAACCTTCAAATTATAAGTTCTTCTCCAATTCATTGAACATGTGAAAAACTGAATTATAGTCCATACAATTATCTACACTACAATGTGTCATAACTATTACGGCGCATGTTTAAAAAGCAAACATTTATCGATATTTACATAGTTTTATCCTATACTGCAACAATAACAGTGGATTGTTAGCATTAAAATAAAGGAAATTCCGTTTGAGATTATTTCAGTTCTCTTTTGGATTAATGTACTCATATGAAGAGGATAATTTTTTTAAAAGATAATTTTTTATTAATGGCTCTTTTTGGAAATTTCCTTAACTCGAGAGGTATCCCCATACTGGCTATGATTGTTGTTAATTAATAACGAATTTTAAAGATGTTGAATATTTCAATACTTTGCTACCTTAAATAATCGTAGTCTATAGTAAAGAAAAGCTTGATTTTTTTAAATTTGCACTAATGATTTTAAACTATGATAAATATTTTATGTTTTTTTTATTTCCATTAACAATTTTAAACTATTTTTAACAACGTAACGCTTCTTTCTTCCTGCACTTTACACTTGTTTCTTTGCGGAAAGAACACTATATTTAGAGTTTTGGAACTGCTAATAGGCAAATGATCTGGTTAATTAAGTCAGCAACGCGAGAATTGAATAATGAAGAAAACTTCCCAGGTGAACGACCGTTATTTCGCTTATCCTTTTCAGTCTACAACTTCACACCTTACATTAATCTGCTGTGTGAAGAAAGGGTTACGGATATTTTGTCCGAGACATTTATCTACCACTGAGGTGAGTAACACCTTTTCGGTATTCAAGGAAGATTTTTACGACTTAAACTGACTAAAAGCAAGTTATTATAATATCTGTCAGCTATAGTAAATTTTAGTATATGACTAATGTGCCCCTTATGTAGATATATTTACATAAATTAGTAGTAGACTGATAGTCATTCTTTTCATTTCCATGGTCATTTTATGTCGAATAACATTAAAAATATTAAGTTTGAATTTTAAATTTTGTTTAGCCATTCCTATCTACATCAAATTCAGCTTACTTATCTGTCGTTCCAAGTGTAGATCTTGAACTAGAGCACCTATAATAATAAAAATAGTAATTGTTACGGGAGATTTTTATTCTTGGTGTTAATTAATTCGAGAATCTACGGCGAAAATAGCATCCTGCCAAAACTGAAAGATGTTACCAAATCCAACTGCCAAAACTAGGAGATACATGCCGAAATACTTGAACGCATAACATATAAAAAGTTAATTTGAGATATTTCATAATATAGTTAGCCATGAGCTGTTTTCTTTAAATTTCAGATATCCGCACAGAGCTTATCAGTGCGATAAAATGGTTTATTTCGAAACTACGCGTTTCTCTTGGTAGTATTTTAATGCTTTTCAATGAAAGAATGTTTTATTAATTAAATTTTTTTTTATTACTGTGCAGTTGCAATTTACGCTTCATTTTTTTCGCAATGTAATTGAAACCAGACATTTTATACTTGCTGGTATATTTAAATATTTATTAAATATTGCAGTGTCTAATGATTTTACGTAAATTATTTAACAGTAATTTTCGCAAAAATAAGATTACTACGTAATACTTATTTTCAGATGATTCAGAGTTCTGGAATCACACAGAATGTCTCAGAAATAAAAATACAATATAATGAGTCTGATACTAAAATGTGTTCTTTATAAATTTTTCTCCTATTTGAAAATTTAATTCTTAACTAATTTAATAATAATAATTAATAGTATTTTTTAATTCTTAATTTAAGTTTGAGTTAATTTTTGCTTGATATATATAAAATAATGCAAAACCCGTAAAAAGAGAAATAAAGA